TAGAGGGAATTCTAGGAACATAAAGATGTTACTGTTGAGATAAATCCACTGTCAATTTCACCTCCAACCATATTAATCTAAGATGTACAATAAAAATGGAAAATATATGTATTATAAAATGATAAACATGGACCCTACTGGTCTAGTTTATCAGAACAAATCAGGTCATCACTTTACCCTGGAATCAAATGAGACAGCTGGATGCTCGGCTCAGCAGGGCCTATGAAAGAGTGATGTCAAACAGGCAGACTTTCTAATCTTACAGGGTGCACAGCTAATGTTTCAGAGCTCCTTCAACCAACGAACGCTCTTCTCCCCAGGAGAGCAGCAGTCTGTGCTGCAAGCCCAGGAGTAAACTATCAGCCGTCAACTAGTCCTTTCTCTTCACACACATGCACTTTTCTTTGAATGCAGAATTCAAGTGTCCAATACAATTTGATAGTAATAAAACATTTCCAACTAGTCACCAGGAAGTTGAATTAAACATCGTAAAGAGTATTCAGAGATTCAAGAAACATATTAATGTTTAGCTACTATTTAGCTGGTCTACTGAGCATATCATAACAAGATTTAGAGGCCAGGTACAGTCTACAGCAGGTGCAACCCAAAGAAAGAAGAACACACGAGGACCAACGTGGACGGCACACTCTAGCTGTAAAGCCAACTCTGCATTAAATCCAAGATACTAAACTTGATCCTCAGCTCTCAGCCCTGAGATTCCATTACAGACCATCATAGTTTGCTTCTTCCAAGCGTAAAATTCCGAGTGCTCAGTTGAGTATTTCTAATTAAGGATTCTTTCATCATTAATATTGTAGGTCATATTACACCTGAATTTTTAATGAATCATCAAATGAGTGTTATCCGTCATAAAACAGATGAGAATATGTGAAAAATACAGTATCTGTAAAAAAGTTTATATTTTATTTTCAAGATACTGCCAAGGGAAATATTAATCATCACTATCAGAAGCTTTGTCAATAATTACTAAACTCTTTTTTAAATCACATTTTCCTTCCTACTTATAAGTATTTCATATATTTTACCCATTGTTGTCTTAACCTAATCTAATCATTTTGAAACAAAATCTAGCCCTGTCCTTTATACTTTTGAGATTTTGTAAAATTGGCCAGTCTTATTATTTCCCTAGGTTGTAGGACTTTTCATATTAATAAACTATTAGTGCACTATCCATTCAAGGACACAGTGAGAAATGACTAGCTATTTAATTACTGAGCAGTCCCTTCAGAATCTGTGATAGATGGTAACAACAACACAGGATAGCCTTGGCATTATTGTACAGAAATAATACTTCCAGAATATTCAGACTCAAAAGACTTCGGTGACGTAAAATACATTTCTCTCTGTATTTCTATGAGTTGCCAGAATAAGTGGCTGTAGCTGTTCTATAGAGCCTGCGATATAGAGCTACTGACAAATACCACCTTCAACTGTCACCCTTGGGTTAAGGCATTTGAGCTAGCAAAAGTACAGTCAAAGGGGAAATACATTAGGGAGCTGAGAGAGTTACATTGAAAGTGTATATAATTTAATTTCCATGTTTTGCTTTCAGTGGCATTTTATTAACTGATAGAACTTCTCAATACTTTTTGAAGCTGATAGTTCCAAAATAATCAACAGAAGACTTGAGAATGGGTATTTTGTACTAGAAAATCTATTAGGTTGATAAAGTAAGGCCCAAGTGAAAATAAAAAATCATGTCTATTATCCCACATAATGAGACAGAGCAAAAGAGTGAAGGTAGAGATTTGGACAGAGCATGCGTGGGGTCCATGGCATTTTGGGACTACATTTCCCAGAACCCATTATTGCCACTAGTGGAAGTCCCCATGTGTTTAGAAGCTCCCATGCATTTCATAGGTGCATGAGCTCTCAAAAACCCTGGGAATACATGCAGAAGATAAGAAATACCAAGGCCGGCCTTGGTGGCTGGGAAGGATTTCTTGTTTCTAGGAGTTTCTGAATAAATCTCTCTTGCAATGCCCTATAGCTTCCAAAAGTAAATTTTTGTCTTGATCAGACAAGAACCTGAATTCTGGTAACATAACGTATACTTAGTGCAACCCTACTGTGTATAAAGTTCTTGGTGAAGTACAATAAGTAATACTAAAAAATATTTAAGGCAAAGCTTGTCCTCAAGAAATTATCTGAATAAACCAGATAAACATGTTAGTTGATAAGCATAACTAGAATGTTCTCATAATAAAATAACCCTGATACCATATGCACGCTCTGAACACAGACTAAGCATGTA